CCGTCCGCTTCCCGGGCTGCTCAACCCGGGGGGGGGAGGGTGGGCTGAATAACCGCCGTCTTTAACCAGAAAACCACCTGCCACAGGAAACCTGTCATTGCCCTGGAAAGAAAAGACTCACTGCTTCCTGCTAGCAGCCGGGGAAACCAGCGGCACGGTGGGGAGGAGGGGAAGATGCTTGAGTCAGAAGAAAAGAGAAACTGAGGCCTCAGAAGAACTGAATTAATACTGTTATTAATGAGAATAACAACAAAGGGATTAATAACGATGCTCAGCCTTGTCTCAATGATGCTGAGAGTATCGCAGCCTTTTCTACCTCTACTGCTGCTGAAATGCAGCCAGCTCCAGGCTGGAGCATCCCAGGCACTGACCGACCATGGAGCCAGCAGCCTGGGCAGGACTAGAGAAGGGAGGGAGAATGCAGTGGCAGGCTCTGCAAACTCAGCCGAGACAGCTAAAGCGGGACGCAGCGCTCTGAGGCCCTGGAAGGCTGCACCACCACCTTGGCAAAGCAAACCTGTCACCCCTCCGCTGCCACACTGACTTCTGGTGGTGCCCGCTCTCTGCACACAGGTTGAAACGCACCCAGCAGTTACAGTGGCTGTCACAGGAGGACCTCGCACAACAAACAAGCATCTTTCAGATGTGATTAAATGCTTTGGAAATCATGACTGACGTCGAACTCAGGAGCTGATGGGAATCACCCAGGGACTGGGAGTTCCAGCCTCCTCGTGACTCATTCCCTTCAAAACACAAGCTACAAAGCCCTGGGGCAGATGGAGCTGCTGGCTCCTTTCATACCACCATAGTTCAAGCTGAGCCATGCTCTTCGAGGCACAACCACATCAGAGAAGCAAAGTGCCTGATGCAGAGCTGCACAAATGCAAAGAGCACTCAGGGAATGAACCCAGGAGCAGCAGGGGGTCACTGTCCACCAGGAATTGGAAAAACATTTGCAAAAATTCACCATCCATCCTCTACTTGCCTCCCTGCATTTCTCCAGCTGCCTGACAGCATCCCCTCTGTCTGAACTAAACTGGGCTTAGCCCCCCTGCTCCCAGCCCCATGGGAAGGCAAGGAGTGTGCGCTATAAATGCTAGCTGAGCAGTAGTAAAATCATAAGCAAGTGGTTTGGCATCTGCTCTAAGAAGAGCAGCCTAATTCTTGGCACACAGCTAGCCAGGATTTTCCTGGGGGAGGATCAGAGCCCATATCCACCTCTAGGATTACCCTGGAGAAAGCAGTGACCCCAAGGAAAGGCTGTCTCTTCACCCCTCTCAGGTACAGTCACCCAGCGCCGTCGCTGCTGACAGATGTAATGCAATCAGCCTAGACCCATGTCAGCTCTAGAAGGATCATCAGCTATGGAGAAAAGAGTGAAATCTCTCTTAAACCCAGCTCCAACCATGGACTGAGGCCACTATGTAAGGAGGAAGGTTCAGGATCGGCTTCTCAAGAATTCTTCCCAAAACTGGGGATCTGGGGGGAATATGAAGATCACTAAGTCAAAGGATGTTTGTTTGAACATGAGCCCTACTGCTACTTCTCAAAGAGTAGCCAAGCCCAGCGCAGGGATAAAGATGGTCTCTGCCCACTGCAGGCTGCATGTTCTGCATCCTGCCCACCAGTAGCCCAAAACACACGGGACTGCACTTACCAATGTGCAAAATGCAAAGGAGACCAGCCCCTGTTCTCTGACACCGACCACATGCTCTTGCCCAAACATACACAGTCAGAAGCGACTGCTCCTCCTGAAAAGCAGATGCCTAATTCTTCACACTGGGAAGAGCCCCAGGGGTGACCACAGTGCCACAGGAGAAGAGTGGGACAGCAGGGTGAAACCAAATGATGGAAAATCCATGCTAAACAACAGGAAAAGCCTTCAGGTACTGTACAGTGTTCAGATATAGCAAGGGATGCAAGTGCTACCATGGAGACATTTAAAGACATTAGAAAATTATTAATATTTACTTATCTATGCAGCATAGCATCTCAGGGAACAGACCAGAGGAGACAGCTCATTTGGCTCCACATTGCACCATCATCCATACCAATGAATACAAAGCGCTACCGTCTCAGAAAAGCATCCTTGTACACTATTGCACCGCTGCAGAAGTGATGGCATGAAGCACAAACCTGGGGAGAGCCCGCCCGGGTGAGCCTCTGCTTTCAAAGAGCTTGTGACTGAGCCAGTCAGAAGAGGTTAGGAAAGGAAATCAGTAATGTCAGATTGAGAGATAAAGACGGATTCAAAACTAGCTGCAAAACTAAATGCTTCAGTGGCATTCGTCCTGGGCTGCGTGCTCTTGCTGCGAGTGCTGACTCCTACATCCTGCCCTGGCCTCACTTTTCCTGTCCTGCCTCAACTGAGCATCTCCGCTCCGAGTCCCCAGGGGAAAAGCACGCTGTCCCCTCTGTGTGCCCCAGTGCCGGTAAACGGGGAAGGGTGGGAGTGCTCACCAAGTGCAGCGTGTCTGCTTTCTGGGTCTGCCTCAGGCGGCTCTTCTGGGCAGCGATGCGGTTCTTCTCCCTCCTTTGGACTTTCCTCATGTCATCAGAAGAGTCCTAGGGAAACAAGGCATGGAAATGACTGGGGCATCCCCTCCCTTGCCCTGCTCCTGCAGGGCAGTAGGTGGGAAGGGGACACAGCAGATAACGCCATTGAAGCACAGGACATGGGATACACACTCTCAGCACCAGGATAAAGGCATACCCCAGGGATGTATGATGCTTTCGGCATCCCCGTTGCCAGGAGGGGCAAGCGTGATACCCTTGGACGTCCCGGCACAGCTGGGAAATGAACACTCCCCCTTTACCAAGACACAGGCCTGGGATATGGCTTGAGGAACCAGAGCAAGGACCTCTCTCCGGAACAGAGACAATGTACAATTCCTTGTACAGAAAACCTTACCCTTCCGCATCTCTCTGCAGGGATACGACACTACAGATATTCCAGCTCCCTGGCTAAACCGTCTTTCCAGAGATTCAGCCTGTGTTTTCCTCCTGTCATGCCTGTAGTTCCCACCCACTCTCCATCACCTTTCTCCCTCAGGCTTTATTTGTTGCAGCCCCTTACAGTGCAATATGGCCCCTGCTTTGTTTAACTAGACGGACTCAGAACTTTTGGTTTTTCCCCAGATCTCATTGCTGCAGCTCTCAGATCTCTGTGCTTGCTCTTTTCTGGAGTCCCTTGGTAGCAATGCCTGCAGTGCTGACTGCAACACTCCCAAGCCCTTTGGGCACGGGAAAGCACAGGTCTCCAGGCTCCAGGTCATGAGCTTCATGCAGCAGCCGTTCTCTGCTGAGATCTGGTCCTGCTCCTGCCTTCTGACAGTTGAAACCATCACATAGACTCTTTCATCTTCTATTTTCATACTGCACTGCCGCTTTTGTGGACTCTCTAACATTCACACCATTGCGTCTCCACAGGACTACAAAACTCAGTCACAAAAGTTATCTTCCCAGCCCATCAGTCTGTCCACATCCTCTCCCCCCTCCACCCTGCCCAAGATCTTTTCTTTTCTTTGAACTTAACCGTTTTATCCTTGCCTTCAATACCCTACAAATGTCTCAGATGCGGCAGCTCGCAGTCCTTATTCTTTGGCAACCCCTGCGCTTTATCCCCTTCTCTACCAGGATGCCTCCCCATCCATGGTTGCAAGCCCAAAATCATCTGCCCTTATCATCCCCAAGATTTCTGAGCAAAGTCTCAGGTACTTGCCATTGTTGTCAGCCCTAGAGAAATGTCAAATGACAGATATAATAAAGCTTAGCCAGAAAAGGCAGTGGAAATACCTCGGACTTGTGTCAGAATCTGCCAGCAAAAGACCTACCATTAAGGTACTCTGTGCAACAAAACAAAATCCCTGTCAAGCGTTACTGAGACCAAAAACCTCTGAGGCTGAACAGAAAAGAAAGCAGACCCGAAGTGGCAGGGTTTTTCTGGGTCCTGAGAGCTGTCCGCGGCAGCGGGAAGCAGGCAGGCTGCCTCTGAGCCATCCCAGTCCATGGCACGGAGGTGCGTGCTCAGGTTCCTTGCCAGAGCACCGACTCTCACGCCGAAGCTTCCTGCCTGCTGCCTGCTGGGTGCGTATCGCAGGGCCCACCGTCCCCAGGGGTCCCAGCCCCCCAGTTACCCCTGGCATAGCCCCAGGTAACCAGGCCTCCTCACTCCACCCATACCCAGCTCGCTGTTCGGGGCTCCTGCCGGAGCTCTGGGCTCAGCCCCGCATCCCTCTCCCCACAGCCGTTCCTAGAAAGCCCCACCATACTGCACTGTGAAAACACCAGCGGTGGGTGCCATCCTTCCTCCTGCCCACCCATGGCTCACCCTGAAGGACTCTCCAGCCGGGGACACCTGGGGAAGGGTCCCCGCTTTACCTGCTTGCTGGGAGGAGGAGACTGGCTGAAGCTGCTGGAGTCGCTGCTGTCAGAGCTGTGGGGCATGGCTCCCGTCTCTGGCTCCCAGGGCCTCTTCAGCTTCCTTTGTGCTCTTGGTGTGCCTGCCTTCTGTCTTCCTTCCCTTCCGTCTCCCCTACCCTCCGGTCCCCCCTGAGATGGTCCTTGGCTTCCTGGCTCTTGCCCGTCCTGGAAGCACGCTGTCCTCCTGCCCCACGCTCTGCCACTTTCTCTGCTCCTCCTCTCAGAGCCTCTGCACCTTCCCTTTAGGTCTCGGCCTCCTGTGGTTTCTCAGAACCTCGGGGATGTAAGCTGAAAGTCACATGGCCGGAAACTTTAAGGCGAAGAAGAAAAGTTACAGAAGAAAAAAGAAAAAAAAAAAAA